AATTCCCCAGCCAGCATGCTGGCTGGGGAATTCCGGGAGTTGAAGTCCACACATCTTAAAGCTGTCAAATTTGAAAAACACTGTGTTATGCATATGCTATCTATGACCGTAATAAAGATTTGATTTGATTTGTGTTATTTCTCCACATGAAGACTTTGTCTGATTCATGTCCAGTTGATATCATAATTCCTCTGGTTTAGTTTTTGTTCTTTTGGAGATTAAAAAAAAATCATTGCAATCCAGGCAACTCACACCAAGCCCTATCCTTATGAGCAGACACATTGATGAACAAATCACCTACCTTTTTTGTAAGTGAAATCTGATCTTGGTTTTCTTCCTGGTGTGTAATTAACAGCCTTTCCCCTATTCTGCTTTGGAGGGTCGTTCCATTGGCCAAATCTTCATAATAGGTGGTGTTCTTGGTTAGATGATACTCAATGTCTCTTCCAGACAATGTCTTAAAATAGCAAGCAACAAAAATAATGCCCATGATCATGACAACATTGACAACATTTCACAGCTGACATCTTTTCCCCCATTTTTTATTCACATTAGAGTACTCTGTATTTAAAAGCCAATACTAAAGGATTTTTTAATCCCAGCAGTTTCAGTAAAAGGCACTGGAGTACTAAGATGCTAAATGGAAAGAAACCTTAAGACCTCACCTCTGCCCTAAAAAAAATAAAATCCAGTTCAGGAATGTGTATTATTTACAATTATTTATCTCCTACTGCAGCATTTGAAAGCAAGGGTTAAAGATCTCTGGAAGTAACTAGAAGTAATTATCATTAATTAATGAACTTGAACCCTGATGTTCCTGTAACTTTAGCAGGGGACTGCTTCCTTGAACTGACAGATTAATTTCATTCTGAAGTAGTATTATAAAGGCAGGTTTTCTAATTTGGTCCAAATGTCTACAAGTTTCTGTTTTGAATAGGATGGCTGATTATAACAACAGGAATACACATTTTGGGCTAGCAAAAGTGATGGTCTCATAGATTGCTTGAGTCTGTGGTTCACTTGAGCACTGGCTACTCTCCAGATATGAAACATCTTCCTTTAGCTCGGCATTTGATTTTGAAAGACCAGACAGGGAAATAATTTATGTAGTGATTTATATAGATATAGATGCAAATTCATGTCCAAAAATCAGGGCTCTTTGTATGTACCAGGTTAGATGATCTATGGTCTTCTACAACTCAATGTTTCTATAATTTCTTTAGATATACTGAAAGAAAATTACAGGTATATTTTATCCAGTAAAAAAAATGACAAAACCTAAAAAAATCCAAGCTACTAACTTTTTAGCAGAGGTTTGAGAGGGATTGTTTTTCTGGCAAAAACTGATATAGTCAGAAATTATAAACTGCATAGTTCTTGAAAGGCATCAATAATATAAAAAAGTCAACACAATGGGGGAAAAAAAGTGTGGCACAGAGGGCTTTCTGACCACAATTCATGCTTCTTAATTTAATAATTAAGATAATTCACACGTTTGCCATGGAAACTACACAGATATGTCCTTGTAGGCACCAGAAGTTCTTCTGGATAGATTCCTTACCTTTGCTCCTAAAATGAATTGCTTTGTTCTGTAAAATGTATGGAGGCACCTTTCTGCTTTATCTAAAACAAGTCCAGGTCAGTTGCTGTTATAAGAGGCCAATTATAAGAGGCCAAATTCAATTTCAATTAAAAGAATCTAAACAAATAAAATGAAATCAGGTGGGGCAAGAAGCCTGTTGAATGTTAAATGAAATACCAGCAAACATACTGATGCTTGCATCATGACAGGGAATGGGGCTGCATTGTTATTTTTACAAGCTAAAAACTCTAACCATCTCATCTCTTTGAAATTTGCTTTGTTGCCTCCATAGGTTTAACTTGTGTGTTCCATTCATGTTGATTAAGAAAACAGCCCAGGAGGCAAATTTTTGGGATATCTGGTTTAATTTCATGAATTGATGAATTAAGCATTAGGAATAATGAGAATATAAACAAAGCAGAAAAAATAAAATTACTTTCCAGGATCAGCCTATTTAAGCTTCTGGAGTTGGCAAGAAAAACACTAAATTAGTCATTTACCTCATTCTTCCTCAAGCCATCATTGTTTGGTACAAACAAAGTTGCCTTAATGGACAGATCTGTGAGGTATTTCATGAATTCTTGGCCTTTCCGTGAGGTATTTGAGTAAGCGAAAATCTCCTGTGAAGAAAGTTAATCATGATGAATGTATACTCTGAAATGGTATATATTCTGCTATGACAAAAGTCTGGCAAAATGATTAATTAACTAACTTTCTTGGCATGTACAACAAATAGAGAGGAGAAATAAATGCATGGTACATACAGTACCTCTGAGATATTTTATAAAGCCCTCAAACTCTTCTTGTGTGCAAAGGATCCAAACTATACGTCTTAACAGCAGATATTTAAACAAGGGAGATAAATCAGGTTGGCTTTTCCCCCTCAGAAATGGAAAGCAGTGCTTCTAAGCACAGTTGCTAGAAGGATAGCAGGAAGACTTAAATCAGTCTCTTCCAGTGGTCTAGAGTAAGACCAGTGAGAGAAGGCATGTATGCACTTTCAGATTGCTGCTTTCACAGAATAGGAAAATAGCTATTTTATGCTATTATACTATTGTAGGGAAGGGCAGAAAGTCTTGCCCAATTCCTTCTCCTTTAGCGCATCTATCTAAGATTTGGAATTTAACCAGCAGTCTTGTCAGCCCCATGAGGCAGCCCAGACCAAGAAATAACTCCATAAAAGATTAAAGATTACTTTTATTTAGATTGGCTATAGTATCATAATCTTGCAAGATTAATTGTGTCTTGAGCAGAGCCACTGGGGGATAGGAAGAATCAGCAAGCCTTCCAGAAAACAAGTCAGATTGCTGGCTTTCTCCTGCTATGGAAATTAGCAGAGTCTCTGCACCCCAGTTGATGGCAGGCTTGCAGAAAATGTGGAAAGGTGTTTATTATATGACTGAAACATAGGAAGAGTGGCCAGGTCTCTCCTGGCTCCAAGGATTTCACTTTTTGCAGCTGAGGATCACATGCAGTCTATAAGCTACAAGAAGCCAATCTGCACAGAAGAGAAAGGGAAACCCTGTCGCTCCACCCTCTCAACAAGAAAGTGTTCCTGATGCTACTTCATCCCATATTTGGCCTTTGACTGTTTTCAAACACTGAGAAAAACAAAGACCTTTAAAGCAGGTGTGTTTTCAACAATGTCTTCTTGATCTTGAATTATTATGAACCCATGGATAAAACCTGGCATCTCCAACAGCTACAATATGTTCAACCCTAGTAATAGACTGTTTATGTCGCATTTATTGTGCCCTTTTAAACAAATAATAACTGATTCAAATCATAAAAAATTCACAGGAAAAAAGGAGTCTCAAATTCGTTTCTTTGCACTCCAGGGGAGAAAAGGGTTCGCTTCTGTTACTCACCGAGAGAAAGTTTGTAAATGTTGGGAAAGAAAAAAGGACTTGAAGCAAGTTTCCACTGCATGTAAATCCATCTCCCACGTAACCAGTCTTACAAGCGCAGCTGACATCTATGAAGCGACAAAGGGAATTTAGATAGCCAACTGAGATGGGCCAAGGGCTCGATTATCTATTAGGAATAGTGGGCATAGTCGATAAGGCCCCCAGGCTTATGAAGAATTAATTTCCCTGCAATCTAAATGATATAATTATATAATGGGATCTATGCCTATTTAAATATTTATATATTGTTTCTCATTTTAAAAATTGGCTTGTAATTGTGACCCGATTACAACGCGATGCAAAAATATATCGTGCAAAAGTTTGTCTATAGATCTGCCTCAGAGAGCTACAATTATGAAAGTGTCCAAGGCATACAAAGATTTGAATTCAGCCCTGGATGGGTCTGGAGCCTAGAGCCAAGATGACAGATTCTGAGAACTCAAACATTCTTGCATTTTTACCTTTGACTCTGTAACAGAAAACATCCCAGGTTTCACTCAGGTTGACTCTGATTCCATAATCAACAATGCCAACAACTCCTCCACCACATTTTGGTGCAGAGAAAGCTGTTGGATATGCGACTCGTCCATTAGCCAGCCAACCAGCAGCACACAGATGGTATCTGGCCTATCATTAACATATAAGGAATATAATCATGAAGCAAAAGAAAATGAATAACTATCATAAGCTAAGGTATGAGACTTATCCAGTGGGTGTAATAAAAAATGTTGGCATGCAAACTGCTTTCACCAGGAGACAGAATGAACATAGCAACTCCTACTGCATTGCTGTGCACGTGATGGCTATATTAGTGAGAATGCTACTGACCACAGGCCTGTAAGATATTTATAGAATCCTAGAGGCATTCTTTGAAGCTTGAGCAGGATGGATGAGTCACAACAACAATATGAAAGACAGATTGCCTCATTTTCCAAATAGAACTTGCAGTTCTATCCCAACTCTGGTTGGCAGAGTGTGGCTGTAGCATGCCAGCAGTCTGGATTTTTCCACAGAACTGGCTGCAAAATGACTCATACTTGCAGAAGGACTTTTCCAACCTGGGAATTCCAAGGAGTTCATTTCTGAAGATATATATAACCCAACTTTGATCTGCGCTGGATTGGCATTTAGTTTTTAAACAAAACAAAGCAAAAGCCATATTTTTTAACATGTTACAGCGATGGTCAATTGAAAAAATACACATAGATTTTTATTAGATATTTAGTTTCCATCTGATAAAGGATGCAGCATTCTTGGTGTAGGGATTATTCCTGGGTTATAGAAATTACATGAACAAATCACCTCAGAGTTCTCACTTGAGGCACAAATGACAGGCTCAAATTATCCTACTTCAGACACATTAGACGAAGACCCAGCATTCTGGAGAAGGGTCTAATGCTTGGAAAGATGCAAGGAAAGAGATAATCAGCAGCAAGGTGGATGGACTCAGTTACAGTGGCGATGAGTGCACTGTTGGGAGACCTGAAAGACCAGGTTAGGGACAGATTGTCATGAAGAAAAATCTATCTATGTAGTTGCTAAGAGCTGACACCAACCTGATGGCACATAATCAATCAATCCATCAATCCATCCATCAATCAATCGAGAAATAATCCCTGAGACAACTTAGGCTCAAAGTTCTGCAGTTGTATGTGTGATATAATACCATGCATAATTTCTCTCATGGGCAAGGACAAATAAGCATTCTTACTTTCTGAGCGTATAAGAGCTGATTGTACGTAGCTACTGTAGCACCTTCATCTGCACAAGTCTTATTTGCATCACCATAAGTCAATTTATACTGTCCCTTTGCAGAGCGTACATGAAAAACACCAACTGTAGCATCTACAAAGAAGAAAGATGCAAAAATATTTAGGGATTTCCAGACATGATGATTTATAGAAAGTTGAAAAAGATCAGGTGTAAATGGGGTTGCTTTGTAAAGACAAGAAAATCCAGCATTTCCTTTGCACAATTTCATATTCAACATATCCACTTCAGCATATGCTGACAATATGATTACAGAAAATGTTAACTATCTTTGATATCTCTGATATCTATGCAGACAATACAGTAATCATTTCTTGGATTATGTAGTCTGGATATGCTAGTGACTGACCCACATACTTGGTGCATAGTTAGACATGGCAATACCAAATAAATATGCTTTCACATTGTAAGAAGGTGAAGATTATGTTATATTTGTGTTTTGGATATTTCAGGTAATACACATGGAATTATCTCATGATTTTGCCACAGTAGAGCTGAGTTGTCAAAATTACCAGATTATTGTTTAGAAAAAAGAAGATCTATCAAGATCAACTAACATTGAGTTGTTTAGTATAAGAACCACCACTTTAAGGAATTCTCAGATTCAGCATCACGAAGAGGCATAGACAAGTTGCTTTCAACTGTTTCTAAATTGAAAGACTGACCCTGGAAATGGAGGTCGGCACAAATAGCATCTGCATGGCACTGTCCATTGTCCTGTAAACATCTGTCCACTGGCAGCTGATTTACCTCACAATCAATTCCATCCCCAATGTAGTTTTCTTCACATTCACACTTACGCTTATCCTGAAAGGGAAATTTTAGTATAACAGGCACATAGATATTGAGTCACAAGTCACTACAGCTGACTTTGGACTTCCATTTAAAAGCAAAAACTACATTTCAAGTACCCATGGTACATACAAAGCCTTAGAAATCTTAAAAACAATTTTTTTCATTAGTAAGCATGTTATTCTGCTATGGATGTAGTTCAGGAAAAAGCAACCTGATGTTCTTTAGATGTCTTGGCCTTTGTCTCCTGTTTACCTTAGAGACCCTGTGGGCCAAAACCAAGAAACCTAGCTAGGTCACTTTGGATGACTGGTTAATCGGATGGCTGTCTGCAATGAACTTATTTCTCCCTAGGAACCTGCTGCATTTGCATATTATCAACTACAACTGCAGGCATATAAGCATGCTCCTTTATATAAACAGGGGAAACTAACTCTACAACAAAGTTAAAATACGCAATACTCACTGGCCCTGTCATTGTACAGAGAGCGTGTTCATGACATCCACCATTGAGTCCGTCGGTACAAGGATTGATAGCAGTGCAGACGTAGCCATCTCCCTGGTATCCTTTCTGACATGTACAATTGACTTGCAAACCAGTTTGTGTACATTTTGCATTCTTATGACATCCACCGTTGCTTTTCTTACAAAGCTTTTCAGCTGTGAAGTGCAAAGAAGCAAATACAAATCAATCTCTGTAATAAATGAAGATCTACATCAGAGATAGGCAACCTAAGGTCCTTGGAACCTGGTGGCAATAGTTTTCTGTCATTTTAAGATATGAAACATAATTAAAAATTTATACAGGTAGTCCCCAGTTTAAGAACAAGTTCCATTCCGAAGCTTTGTCCTTAAGTCGAATTTGTACATAAGCCGGAACAGTATTATTGTATAATACTGTATAAGTAGTATTCTATAATGAACTCGAACCATTGTGTATTTAACTCAAATCATTGTGTGTATAACTCAAATTTTGCAACAATAGGCTCCGTTCTTGGCTATGGGTTGTCTGTAACCCGGGTTTTCTTAACCTGGGGACTGCCTGTATATAAATCCCCAAATAGATAACAGAAATAACAGAAGATAAAAATAGCTAGCTTATGCAGAAGGTGAAACAAATACCAAAAACCTCTTTATAAGGGGTTAATAACTAGTCATGTTTAGATTAAACCTTATAAAACATTTCATCATTTTGTAATTAAAATGGAATTTCACCAGGTCACGTGAAGATCAAAATGTGGTGTGGTACCTATATGTGAACTCACCTGTAAACTCACCACATTGTATGTGGTGCTTTAGCATTATTTTCAAACCAGGACACTATGGCTTGTTCAACAAACCAAAGTTAAAATATTGGATTAGAACACACGCAATGGGGAAATAAAAAGGTAAACTTTTTAGTTTATAGCCCTTAGCCAAGTTCTGATCAGGTGATACCTAGGACAAATGCAAAAAACCCCAAATATTTTAGCTGTACAGGACATTACTGATAATTTTATGCAAACAAGGAAGGGCATGATACAAAAATTCTGCTTGCAGTCCTGACAATGACTGTTTTTTCCTCCTTGGACAAAGAAGCAAACGTGTAGCATACTATGCACCTTAGTTGGCTCTTTTTTGTCTTATAAAGGAAACAATGTCCTTTCCTTCATGGTTATGTTTTGGATATCCTACCACCTTTGCTTTTAACACATCAGCTCTGGAATGAGAACAGCTTTAGTGAATGCACATCTCTAAGTCAAAGATTACAATGGAAAAGTCAGAGCTAAAATGGATAGCTGGGTTTGGCTCTATTTGTATTAGGTCAAAGCTTGTAGTAAGTCTAACCAAAAAAACAAGGAGAGGAGAAAAGAAGAAGGTGAAAAAAAAAGAAGAGATCCATAGCGTTCAACATTACATAGTCCACTCAAGAATAGCTTAGGAGCAACAGTTGCTAGTCCACTATTGTGTTTGAAGATATTCAGCCCCATGACCAGGACTGGCAGTTCTGATGGTTGGACAAAATAATGTCCCATTATAGGTGAGCAGGGGTGCAGAACAGTTTTCACCTCCCCATCTGCTTTCTTCAAGTAAGAATCCATATGTGGCATCTGGTTTGTGGATCACACTTTGTAATCCAGCTGTTCAAGTAAACACACAGTCTCTCTTTGGTCATAGAGTGGATATATTCCTGCTTGAAGGCTCACTCAGAACATACTAAAATAGTCCTTTGTGGAGTATATACAATTACTTTCATATTTTAGAATGTTGCATAGAAACTGCATGAGGATGGGGAAAGAATGGTGGGAAATGGGGAAAGAGGGGTTTGTGAAGAAAGATTTCCACAGGAAGGATGAAAGATTCTGATCAAAATGCATTCCTCATGTTTGACGAGTAGTTGATGTTTATTTTGTGTTAGGGTAATTTTTACCTGTACATGTGAGTCCATCCCCAGTATAATAAGGCTTACACTGACAGGTACTATCATCTTTACACACTGCATTAACAGAACAGCTGGGTGAACATACTGGGGCTGAAGCTGTGAAGGAAAATTAAAAACCATAATTTAAATTCGTGCTCTTCTCAGAATCTCAAATCTAACAGTAAAGAGTAAAAGAGTAAAATAAGTATCTTCAAAGATAAAAAGAACGGGTGGCCTTATTGCATCCATGCTTGCTGGCTAAATCAAATTTAAGCATATCAGATACAATCGCAAGAGTCTGCTGTTTTGTCTCTGCTTTATACATTGTGATGAACAGTTGTGGTTAATAATAAACGGAATGATTTCTTGCTTCAAATGTAGGTCTATCAGATCTAGGTTGTAATCCACCTGCCTAAATAGTGGATAGCTATGAAGGGATAGATAAAACTCTCTTTGCTGCTATTTAGAATTCATTTTTCAACACAGACACAGTAGTCCTTTTCAAGTGACACTAATACAGTCCAAGTTTTTATTTCTTGGTATGAGGTATCCATCTTATAACTGTCTTTTCTATTGCACATAAGTGGACAATAATCACTCTGCTAGCAGACTGTTACCTCAGAACTTTCTCAACCAGGCACAGAGTTGTCTGTCAAGCTAATATCTTATGTAGAAAGCAGGGGCTTTAAAAAAGAGTTTGTGGGATAACATGAGAATTATGAGTCACAGGTTGCCCAATCTGTGTCAATCCTTTAAAATCTGACATTTAAAATCTATCCACACTAGATTTGGTTGTTATGGTGTATGAACACTATAACGAATGAGTGTTATTTGTAAAACAGAGTGTCAAGGCCTTAGCAGCTGCTTACAACCAAAAATCAAGATTCTCAGATTCTTCTTTAACCAGCTTTATTGAAAGAGAATGGACAATGGTGCTACATAAATCTTGACAACTGGATATGTTTACCTTACCACCCAATTTATCTGTAAGATTTTTAGGGCACAGCATTCTTGACCATCTTGCTGACCACCAGTTAATGCACTGGGCAGATGCTACTGATTTTTCTGATGAAGGAGGAACATGCAGGAGTTAATATTTTGCCAACTGACATCTTCTTTCTCAGGTTCTGATAAGCCAATTATATCTAGTTTTTGTATTTGTTGTACTACTGTCTTTGTTTTATTTTACACTTGCTACAAGCATTAAAACTTGTAGTGTAGGTATGCCATCAATCATCCATTCCCAACCTGGTAAACTGGGAAATTCAGAGTTACAATCTCTGGAAGATACCAAGTTGGGAAAGGCTGCCCTATCTATCTATCTATCTATCTATCTATCTATCTATCTATCTATCTATCTATCTATCTATCTATCTATTCATCTATCTAATGTAGGAAGCAATGGGAATTAATTTTCAATGTAGTACTTCAATATCAATAAAAATATGGGAATAACATTGATTTATTTAAGTTCTACACAAGAAATCAGTATGGGAAAATGATTTAACTAGTTCATCAGCCTAAAAGATAAAGGCAAAATGAAATGTTCTCTACAAGCTACAGCAGATTTGTATTATCAAGTAGTCAGACCTAGTTCCATTTCACAGAGCCGTCCAGTCCATCCAGTTTCACAGAAACATCGTCCTGACCCAGAAATTCCTTCATCACACTGTCCATGTGTTGTACAATCACAGGCTGTAGAGAAAACATTATTGGACTATTAGGAGAATGATCCACAAGGTCTGCCTAATTTATAAACTGGCATTCTGCATTAGGATCATTAATAATCAGAAAATTAACTTAATGATCTAGACTTCTTTATGCACAATTTTTGAAAACCCGGACACTACCAACAATACAAGAATGGTTGTTAAAACTGATGGAAATGGCAGAAAATGATAAACTGACTTGCTTATTAAAAGAAAACTCAAATAACTATTTATTGAAATTTTAAAGTTACAAAGTTAAAAGTTAGAAATGAAAAAGAAATAGTTATTTGAGTTTTCTTTTAATAAGCAAGTCAGTTTATCATTTTCTGCCATTTCCATCAGTTTTAACAACCATTCTTGTATTGTTGGTAGTGTCCGGGATTTCAAAAATTGTGCATAAAGAAGTCTAGATCATAGTTATTTGAGTTTTCTTTTAATAAGCAAGTCAGTTTATCATTTTCTGCCATTTCCATCAGTTTTAACAACCATTCTTGTATTGTTGGTAGTGTCCGGGATTTCAAAAATTGTGCATAAAGAAGTCTAGATCATAGTTATTTGAGTTTTCTTTTAATAAGCAAGTCAGTTTATCATTTTCTGCCATTTCCATCAGTTTTAACAACCATTCTTGTATTGTTGGTAGTGTCCGGGATTTCAAAAATTGTGCATAAAGAAGTCTAGATCATGTATTAAAAACTAGCACTTATGATAGTCTCTTTTTCATTTCTAACTTTTAACTTTGTAACTTTAAAATTTCAATAAAATATTATTAAAAAAAAAGAAAATTAACTTAATGATCTTGAACGTGGCTTTGTATGAAGGGGTCTATACTAGCTATTTGTATTGCAGTTTTCTTAGTGCTATTGAGATAAATATATGAAGTTGCCTTGTTCTGAACCATGTAGCTCATTACTGTCTACTCTACTGGCTCACATGGAGGTTGTTCCAGCACTCTAGAAAATAGAAAATACACTCTAGAAAATAGAATGTAGTGGTCCAGATTTGAATGGCAAAATGTGATTCAGAGACAGACAGCCATAGGCAATGGGATCACATTAAAGTAAATTTATCTTCTCCCAAAATTGCCTGGGAGCTGCATAACAATTTAGAGAGTCTCTGGGACAGAAACTCCTGTAAGCAAGTCAGATTCTTAAAATACAGAGAAAGTTGCCAGTACATAAAGCACTTCACAGTCTTCTGCATATTTTAGGAAAAAAACAAACAATTAATACATGAGGAAAAAGTGATAGATTTCAACTCCTAAAAGCTACCTGGACATTTCATTATTTTTAAAATGTTTATTTTATCTTCCATGGGATCCAAGATATGCACGTTTACAAGCAATCTCCCACCCAGGTGCTGAGCAATTTTAGTTCAGCAAAGTTCCTACAACATTTGTTTTCAGATATTCTCTGGCCTATGGTTCCTGTTTGAATTAGAAGAGTTGAAGTTAGCTCTCTCAGGTTTAGGGCAGACTTTTGATCCAATTAATCATGCAAGCTCTCCTATTCTGGTTCAGCGTTACAGTGTAATTGTTATTTAACTGTAAATCAACAGATAACCTACTTTTGCAATCCAAGCCATATCTTCCTGACAGACAGAGCTCACATGAAGTCCCATTGAAGCCAGCATTACAAATACATTGTCCTGTGCCAGCATAGCCTTCATCACAGTACCCATGGTTATTGCATGGAGCTTCTGGACCTCCTGGGCAAGCTGAATAGGAGTAAGTGGCAGTGAGTCAATCCTCACACGTATTGATTTAGGAAAAAAATATCCCATCTATGCCCTCTAAACATACTGTACATTGGGATTCAACAGCCATAATTCCTCTGTCCATGCTGACTGGGGATTCTATAAATTGAAGTTTAAGATATCTGGTATCCACCAAGTTGCTGAAAGCTTAGTTAGTTAGGGTCTCTAGTCCCACAAGAAGAGATTCCTTTTTCATACCCAGAATATCCCATTCATCTCTCTTGGCAAAAGATCAAACTGTTTTCAGTCTCTATCATGAATACATTCAGAACTAAAGATTGCACCCTCCTATTTTTCATACATTAGACATCCCAGAAAAGTGTACCAAGAATTGAGGATCAGATACAACTCACTGGGCACGGCAGTTTGCATTAGTAAGACAAATGTATATTGTACTCCTGCAATAAAATAGTGCAGTGTGGGGCTATATTCTTATTACCTGTTCTAACCATCTATCCTATCTTCCAGGATGTTCCATCTTATTTCTTATCTCCTTACCTTTTTTTTTTTGGTCACTTCAGTATTCTATTAGCATTCTAAGGCTACTAAGAATGCTAAATCTTTCAATTTTTCTGTTTTTTTTTTTTACTTCTATAGACTTTTTTTGTATTAAAAAAAAGTTTTGTATTTCTATAAGCTGGGGGCTACCATTGATCCTTTTAGATATTTTCCTCTTGTTTTGGTCACAAAGAATTCACATTCAGACTGAGTTTGATATTTTTACGTGGGCACACCGACATTCTGAACTTATTTTAGAAGGTTCAGATGAAAATATAATACAGGACAGGGCTTCTTCCCAGTCTGCAAGAAGCAGATAAGGTGCCCACTGGAATCAATATACATTTCATTTATAAGAATATTCTTTCTTGAGCTTAATTATGGAAATTAGCCCAGTAAAAGGCAAAGAACTTTAATCTAAGTCTCTTCAAAAGATAACTATAGAGAGAAGAGTTCAGAAGCTCTTGATTTCAGATAGGTCAGTTCCCCCACTCCAAAGTTCAATCCATCTAGTCAAAGAATTTTAGTCTGCTGCATAAAAATCTCCAAATAGTTTAACCTTAGCTCTTCCAATTTGATTATCTTAGATGTGTTGCACTAGAATCCTGATTTTGCTTCACCAGCACAGCCAATTTGACTGAGGATGAAAGAAATTGTAATACAACATAACTATGGAACACCTTGTTGGGGAAGGCTGATCGAAACAAAGTGATCCAAGACTAAAAACAAAATATATATTTTAAGAAATATGATTGAACTACAGTTCACTTTAGTTTCTGCAAGTTTCTTTTGGCTCAGTTCCCCCACTGCTCAAGCACCTACTCCATTTTTGAAACATGCTGAAAATCCTCTAAAACTTACTTTCAATATGTGATAATGAATAGAATATACCAGGAGTAGCAACTTTTCACATGATTAGTTTTTAAAAAGATCTTCCATCTGTCTTTATCATATGCTACATGATTGACAAACCAACCTTTCTGCTTAAAGGTCAAAATAGACATGACTTGGGAGAAATGTGGTAAGATATTTCATGTTGGGGGTTATTTTAGGCAACTAAAGAAGGATCCCATTTTCACTAGAATGGTGGACCAACTTTCCCCTTGTTCTTTTTCTAGATATGAATTATATCCACTTCTACACCGGCTAAAAACCCCATGCAGATACCTGTAGTCCTTCATCAAAGCTCAAGTGTTTAATAATTGCAAAGTCTTACCTTGGCATTTATTTCCAAAGAATCCTTTACAGCACTGTGGTATTCTCACTACCAAAGAGCAGCTCCTCCGACAGCCTGACAGGGTCCTGTGACCGATAGTATATTCACACAGCTGCTTCTCTCCCTTATGATTTTATATACGGGAATGGGAAAACAAACCAACCAACCAGGGAATTAGCAGAGTCAAAGGCATAAGCATCTCTGTTCATGCCCACAAGAGTTTGACTGTTGGCACAAATTCCAAGTTACTGTATGCAATTCATTTCAATACTTATTCTGTGAGAGCCAGTGTGATGTAGTGGTTAAGGTGCTTGTCATGGAATGTGGGAATGATCTTGGGAGACTGGGTGCCCTAGGGAATGGTCAGATAAGAGTCAACATAGTCTGCAGCTGGATAGTGGGTGGGGCAAGAGGCTCACAAGAGACCCTCCCTCATTTCTTGGGGTGTAAAGGAGGCAGGGGGAGAATTGTACTTTCAGACTTGCAAGATTCTGTGAATATAGCCATACAATAAAGTAGAATTAGCTCATCTGGTCATGTTTCTTGTCTGGTCCACCTGGTAAGGCTGACAGTGCTGGACTAGGGGTAGAGAGACCCAGGTTCTAGTCCTTCCTTAGCCATGGAAGCCACCTGAGTGAGCTTGAGCCAGTCCCTCCCTGTCAGCCCTAATCAGTGTCAGGCCCTGCAACAAGCTGGCTGATTGATCCTCATTGTATCAGGCGTTGATAGCTTTGCTTGTGGGAACTAGGTGAGCACAGCTAAAACAAGGTGACCTTGGAACCAAGTGGGACAAAGCTAAGAAAAATAACTTATTTTGTTGTATGCTCTGATTTATTCGCAGCAACCTTTTTTTTTTCCAACAAGATGGCATAATTTTTTCCTATCACTTTCAACATCCCAGGACCACAAAAACTGGACAATGAAGCCATGACATTATAGAAATAAGTAGCACTTATTTTTATCCAGGTTTCAATGATTATTTGGGAAGGATCTGTGTGGTGATTGTTTTGCCATTTAACGTACACTAATCCTATCCAAAGACATATAACACATCTTATTTCTCCCTGCCCACCCCCACCCTCCCATATTGGGCAGATATTGTACCACCAATATTTTCTGATTTGCCAGATCTAGGAAGAAGGTAAAAAAAATAGAAATTGGGAGCTTTGTTTCACTGTTTCTCTGAAACGCCTTTTAAAAAATCAGTTTATAATTTAAAAATTGAGTAAAAAATGTACAGTCACAATTACCGTTACTTTACTTCCATCAGGACACTGAGCATTCCTGTAACAGCTGATGCAATCTCCCTAGAGATTGAGAAAGGAAAGCACATGCCTTAAATCAGATACTTAAAAGAACTTTTTAACCATTTTTTAAAAAACACATACTTGTTAATGCATACAATATAAATGCATGAATGCATGAGCTGCCCAGCCCAGCATTATGAAATACACTGCAGACATAATTCCTGCTTATTTTTGCAATCACACTCTTGCACAGATAGATGTACTGGTTTCCATGTTCCAATATAGAATCCAACTCTTGCTGTTTGCAAAAGTTCCATAAAATCAGCACATCTTGTTTTTACATGAGTCGTGTTCATATTAAGAATGCATGGAATGCACAAACCACCACAATGAAAATACAAGAAGAGTTAAAATATATGACGAGTTGGAAACAACAGCCTCCTCCCCTGATGAGGGTTCAATGCATTTAGCTGAATTTGGCAGAGTCTATGTTTAGACAATTAACCCACAAGGCAGCTCGGATGCATAATGGAGAATTCTGCAAAAGGCAAGCCAAGTAAACAAGATGAATGAATAAGGCACTACACTTCATCAAGTTGCCTTTACAATAGTTTTGCTATCACTTACCCATAGTGTTTTCTGTTTATAGGCCCTTTTTATATGTAACACAATTATTCCTGCTAGGCCACAGCGACAGCTAGCACACTGGCTACTTCATTGCTTTGTTGTTTTAAAATAACAATTTGTTAATAAAATAAAATAACCCTTAGCCTAAATATGACCACCCTGTATAGCAATGAGAGAGAGTAGGTGTCCTTTAAAAGGACACTAAGTTCACATATTTCCTTTTCTAATCACACTTGGAAATTGCTTGCTAACTACTTTTCAGCTACTAGAGATGTTTGGATCGACAAGTCTGAAAACACCAGGTGAGTCTGCCTTCAATCCTTAATGAAAGAAAAATTTAACCACAAGTTTAAGAACTTAAAAAAATTGAAATAAACAGCACAAAGCTAATTAAGACTTTGATTTTAGAAAGTTATAAATGGATG